CTACACAAGTAGGTAAAGCAAAAACAACTAAGTGAAAAGAGTCCCCTCTACACTTGGATAATGGAACAGTGTATCAAAAATTAAACATTTTCTTTACGATGGCAAAAGCAGGTCTGATATCAGGAATGTTTCTCTCTCTATTTCCTGGTCACAGCAGTAGTTTGTTTTTAATTGCAAGCAAAAACTACAAGTATTGCTAGGATATTACTGGCCCTGCTTGTCCGGCTAAGATGCAGCCAGTAATCAGGCATTTTTGGAATGTTTTCGACCGTCATTGAACACTTTGAAGTGTCTGAGTTGCAACTCCTGTGTCTTTCCTCTATGGTGCCAGATTTTATTCAAATTTAACTCACAAAAGGCTTATAGAGCCTGAAAGTAAAAGGCCTCGCAGCAAGCTTCCAGAACCCTCACACGGTCTGCCTATGGGGATTTCACATGGGGCGTCCTGTCACATTTGATAATTTTGGCAAGAGTGATTTCTAACTGAAAGCACCCCAAGAAACACTCGTGTCAGAAGTTTCCCTTTGTCTTCTTCAAATAATATTTAGGAAAGGTCACCTGAAGATGGGTAAAAAAAACAAAATTCATTTCTTTTTCTGCAGAATCGTTCTTACAGTAGGTCTCCTTGTTTGTTTTCATTCCCTGTGCTTATATAGAAATGAGATTGTACAATGTTGCAAAGATTTACCAACCTGCAGTTGATGAGTTCTAGATTTAGTCGAATTGACCTGACACAGTTCCTTGTCAGCAAAGACTAGATTATAAATTAGAGTTTGTAAAAGCAGGTTATAGTGTAGCTTTTAAGTTTATTTCCTTATAATTACAAAATCCTTAATCTGTTTTGGTCTGTTTTTATTTTGGCTTTTACCGAAAGACTACCATAAAGTATAATTCCTTAACTGTTCATTTGAGTACGAGACTACCGAATTGTACTGCTGTTCATATATTTTAGATTTTCAGAAGTGATAGGTTAATTTTTGGCAGGATATTTCTCTTTTAGGTCAGGTAATTTTTCAGTTTCCATAAATTGATATGCCAGCAAATATTTTACAAAAGGCCTTTTTACGAGTAGAGTTTTGAGAAGTAACTGAACGAAAAATACTACAAATTCAGTATTGAATGTTACCATGAGAGAATTAGATAGCTTTCTGGAAAATTTCTTAGGAAATGTCAAGACAAAGATCAGACTCCATACTAATTATTCAGTTTTGAGACATTTATTCACCGAAGTCTTTCTTAGTGAAGACAATGTCAGTGAAAGGAAATGCACTGTGACCTAGTAAAATGTATTTCACTTTGTTCCCAGGCATGCATAGAATCATTTACTGTGGTACAACATAACCGTTGTGTTGTGACAGGTTCCATAAGTTGTTGTACACCAATTGGTGACATTTATTCCCTCAGGCGTACAAAGCACCCCTTCAAGCAGGCAACATTTGTATGATTTACCACACTGTATGACAAAGATTTTCAATTGTTTTACTTCCTCAGATTGTCAAGACCTGGAGAAATAACCAACATTCCTTGATCAGAATTGCATGACTATGTTGATTTAAAATTTATATAAAACCGTTTAAGTGTAATTGTTAAAAATGAGTCTGAAAGTGGTAAGTTGTGCGTGTCTTAAATGTGCAAGTGTATACTTGGGTGTAACTTTAGGTGTACATGGACAAAAATTGAATCAGGCTGTGGCGACATTTGCCCAATCATCAATGTGGGTGGACTGGACTTTTTTCAGAATTTCTTTTCCTGACCTGTTGTGGTGAAGCAGGTGCATGATTATAAAATTTTAAAAGCACAGTCTCACTCTTGCAGCTGTCCATAATGTAACTGAAAATATTCCCAACAATCCTTTCAGGTGCACTGGATGACACCTATGATGATCCTGTGCAGAGTGAATACCCAGCATGGATTGTCCTTGTGGAGAAACTCAAGGTCAAAGCTTTCATAGAGCTTACGCTGGCACCAACTATACGAGAAGGGGCACAGCATCTCATAAGGATATCAGGACTTGGAGGTAATTATCCGAAAAATGTCTTTGTTTTTCTGTCACAGGGGTCTCTTGTTTTATCTGGATAAAAGTCATTTCCCTCCATAAGATCGGGCTTTAAAAAGGGAATAAATATGTGCTTGGCCAGTAACATGCATTTAAAACTGGCTTAGGAGATTGGATAAATGCCCAAGCCGCAATTACCAGTTTTCATTCTCCTGAGCTGGTCTTAAATGCACATTTTAGACCAGCCAAGCACATATTTATTCTTATTCATAAATACCATAAATAAATACCAAAAGAAGTCAATACATGATAAATTTCAAGGATTTTGATAAGGCATTTTACTTTCCTTTTCCTGAACACCCCTGTCCAGTTATGGTATATTCTTTGTGCAAGTCGTCCAGAAGAATCTCCTTATGTGGACTTGGCGTGCGCGTGGCGAGCTGTGCGTGCCACAGTGCATAGACTTTTGACCAATAGGAATGGATTAAACTGTCTTGTATTGAGGTGCCAGGGCGTTTTTATGCCTCGGGCATTATCAATTGCAGTTGGTATTATCAAATGTTAATACATGGTCATGTTGCACATAGTTAAATGGGGAAACTGTCTGAAGTATTTATGAATAGTAATTCAAATGAACTTGTCTAGGTACTACATGTATGTAACAGTCTTTGAACAAATTTTTGTTTGAAAGCTTTTGAATTCTGATTTTTTTTTCATTTTCATTTTCACCCAAAAGGGATGAAACCAAACACAACAATCATTGGTTTCTATGACAGTGCCCCCTCCAAAGACTCCTTCCAGAAATGTCACATTACAGGTCAGTGCACATCTTATGGGATAACAGAGGATTCTGGGATTGACGAGGAAAGGGGCCTCCTTACGAATGCCTTTGATCCTCTACGGCCTTCCAACAGCACAAACCGATTGACCGTGAATGAGTATGTCATGATCATCAGTGACAGTATCCGGTTGAAGAAGAATGTCTGCCTGGCACGCCACTTCAACAAGTTTGACCGGGATGCACTGGCTGCCAGCAAGGAGCCTGGATATGTGGATGTCTGGCCCATCAATTTTTTCAAGCCTGAAACAAGTGGGTACCTTGACACAGCCTGCATCTTCCTCCTCCAGCTAGCCTGTGTGCTGCACATGGTGCCAGTCTGGCGCAAGCATACCCTTCTGCGAGTCTTCCTCTGTACTAGTGAGGAGGAGGAGGCAGCTGTGATCCAACACCGACGGGAGAAGCTGGAGAGCTTCTTGAGTGATGTTCGCATCAAGGCCCAGATTGTCATGGTCAGTAAGCAGAATGTCAACCCACTAGCCATCCTGAGGGATGACTCCCTCCCGAGTACTGACCATGGCCGTGCACAGCTGGTCTACTCCCAGGTATCAGATAGCTACATACAGGGAGTAAATGACATGATCAGAGAGCAATCCGCCAAGACAGTTGTAGCATTTTGCTACTTACCCTTACCGCCTACTGACAGCTTACAACAGGCTGATTACATCAGGCATCTTGATGCCCTGACCTTTAACTTACCCCCAACTGTTCTTGTTCATGGTATACAAGAAGTGGCCTGCACAGCATTATAACTGCTCTTTGATTTTGAAAGAACTCTTACAAGTTACTAATATAGTAAACTCTCAAACCTTGTAGTCACATAACTTGAAACTCTGTTTATATCCAAGTCATACATGTAGCTCATTCTCATCAAGTTTCCAGTTGGTTTCCCCTGCCTTATCCTGTTGGAGCTATTCCAAGGTGTACATGTAGGTTGTTTACGCTCAAGATTGAAAAACATTTTCATGAGACATCACTACCAAATGCGCTTTGTTTTGTTTCACGTTGGGGTAATTCGTATGCTACCCCTGCTATTGCACAAGTCACAATGGCCAACTTTTAACAATGATTTTGCACTTTGAATTAATTTGACTGGTACCACTTACCCAATTTGTATTCTGTGTTCAATTGTTTGCTCTTGCTGATAGCCGTTTGGCTGCACTGGACACATGAAGTAAATTTTGTATGCCTGATCTGTGAGTTAGCCTGATTGCTGTTACTGGTATGAGGATTTGGGACCAACACTAACACACCATAAAAAAATAAATGTTAAAATTCCTGCCTTTTTGTGTATGTTCATTTCCTTTCATGTTTCACCTTTCAAGTAGTCCTCACTGGAGGTAGAATCGCGAAATGAATTTACGTTTTCCTTGAGTCCTCACTTCAAAATTGCATGTTACATGCACTATGGTTACACCAGTTCCTGGTTGTAAAAGGTCATGTT